TCCCCGCAAAAGCGACGCGGCGGAGGCGGGGAGGGACGAGCCCCCCCAGAGGCCCACGAGGGGAACGGGAACTTGCACAATACGATTGGTCACGGCGCCCAGTGGGGAGGCCATGTTCAGTCCACACGTGAGAAACAGCATGGAGCGACCGACGGCACCTCTGCCACAGCGCGGACTCCGCCTCGCCCGCACGGGCGTGCTTGAGAGGCGGCCGCTTTCGGGGCTTCGTGCTTCGGCTCGAAGGAAAGCTCGAGGCGAGATCCAAAGTACAGTCAAAAACCCTAATAAGGACGCGCGACTTTGCTCAGGGTACCCTTGCGTCCTTGCTCTTCCTTGCTCTTGCGTCCTTGAGGTTTTCGTCGTCCGCCGCCCCAAAAATCCCAACTTCGGCTTCCAAAGGTCTTGCGTCCTTACCGCGCGTCCTTACCAGGGTTTTTGACTGTAGCCTCCGCGCAGCGCGCTGCTGTGGAAAGCCGCACGAGGCGACGTCGTCTTCGGCAGACCACAGGAGCACGCCGGTGGCGGAGCCGAGAGAGGCTCGGGCCGCAAGGCCACGGGCGGCCGCAGCTGTGGGGCGGGGCCCGTGGCCAGCGCCGCCTCCGCCCGCTGGCCACGAGAGGCGGCGCCGTGCAGGCGGGGCTTGCCTAACTTATGATGTTCCAACGTGCTTTAGCCTTGGGCAGCAGAGAGAGTCTCGAGCTCCGAGGAAGTGCCGGAACTCGAGGGTTTTCACGTGTCGGGCCCTGGGGGACACTCGTTGGACACCGTCTCGGCACTGTCTCGACACTCTTTCGACACTTTTCCGGGTGCTCGAAATTATTTCTGGGATGTGGCCCTTAAGTACGAAGGGTGCAACATAAGGCTTGCCCACCTCCACGACAAATTAACATCGCAGAAATCATTGTTCAGAGCTGGCAGGCCAACAGAGCTTTCTGCAGGACCAGTGAAGTGACTTGGGCCACGACATGGCCTGGACTCAACACGGAGGGTGGCCATGAATCTTGCATCAGCTCGCTAGAGAGATTTTCTCGTAATAAACAAATATGACGCCGCACGCCCTTGTGCGCACACGCCCCACACAATGCAAACTGTCAAATATCCAGCTACCTGCGGCAAACCCCGCCACCGTGCCTGTGCAACAACGCTGCAGAAAGGAGACGGAGTGTAGGAACAGCGCAATCCAGGCAATTGGTATGGTGAGGACGGCTCGTGAATTCGACTTCGTCTTCGTCCGCGCGGTAGGAAGGAGGTCGAGTTCACGCCCCGCGGCAGTTCAGCGAGTGGTCTGAACTGGGGAGGGTCGTGATCTCGATATCGTCTTAGTCCGTGCGGTAGGGAGGAGGAGGAGAAGGAGGAGGAGGAGGAGGAAGCTTCTTGGGGCTCTCTTGGGGCCTCCTGGGGGCTTCTTGAGAGCCTCCTGGGGGGCCTGTTGGGGGCCTGCTGGGTCCTGTTGGGGGCCTCTTGGGGCCTCTTGGGTTGTCCTAGGGAAGCGATTGGCCCGTCTGACGCCTTCGGAGGCCGTCTTGAGGGCCGCTCTGGGCCGTCTTGGTGCCCCACTGGAGCGCTGTAGGGCCGTCTTGGGGCCTCTTGGCAGCCTCTTGGGCGATCTTGGGGTCCTCCTGGGCACCCTTGGGGCCATTTTGAGAGCACCATGGGCTGTCTTGGAACTGTCTCGGAGGCCTCTTGGGCCGTCCTGAGGTCGGAAACCCAAACAGGAGAGAACTTTTAGATCCTTTAAGAATTCATGGGAAATCACGAGTGTTGCCTCCTCGGGCTCTCGTGGAGGGTCTCTTGGAGCCCTCCTGGGTCGTCTTGGTGGCCACTCTGGCCGTCTTGAGGGTGTCTTGAGAGCCTCTTGAGTCGTCTTGGGCCACCTTGAACCGTTTTGGTGCCGCCTTGGCTGCCTAAGAAGCCGTCTGGCCGGGGCTGGGGCCAGGGCCAGGAACACGGCCGGCCCTTCCCCACAAGGGGTCGGGGTTCAAGAGACGGGGGTCAATGCAAACCGGGCTCAGCCAGAGCGTCCGATCTTGCAGGATCCTGCAGGGCCAGGGTCGCATTGACCCGGGTTTGGGTGCAGGATCCTGCAGGATTTTGCGGGATCCTTCGCGTGGACCCGGGTTTGGGCGCAGGATCCTGCAGGATCCTGCAGGATTCTTCAAGGCTTGACTGACCCGGGTCTGGATGGACCCGGGTCAGAAGATCCCCGAAGGGGAGCCCCTCCCTGTCCCCTTTTGTCCACAGGTGGGACCACCCCCTGAGACCCGCCAGAACCCTCGGGAGTCGGTAATTAGAACTGAGACCCCTCCTCCTCCTCTTCCTCCTCCTCTTCCTCCCCCGGACCCCCCCTACCACCTCCGCTACTCTAGGCCACCTAGATGGGGTCCAAGTAGGTGGGGTCGGAGGATCGCGCCGCATCGCCGATGCATCGCCGATGCGGCTCGATGTGGAGCCCGAGTCGCTTCACGTCGACGTCGCCGATGCAGCGCCGACGTCGACGATGCATCGCCGGTGCATCGCCGATGCATCGCCGATGCATCGTCGATGTATCGGTGATGCTGCGCGATCCTCCGACCCCATCTAGGAGGCCTCTAGCTACCCCCCCCCCCTACCCCCCACCCCCGTCAGGGAAAAAGGGGAAGGGAACCGACTTCACTACGGCATTTTGTTTCCCTGTTCGTTCCTCCATTTTCCTGGGATTGGCGACGACGACTACGAAGATGACGACAGCGTCTCACACACGCCGAAGGGTCGGCGGATTTTCTGGTCGACGCGCTGCATTTGCCATGTCCCATTCCTGTGGAATCTCAAGTCGTTGATTGTGCGCAATGCTGCTTATATGCGCCGAGTACAAGCGAAACAACACGACATCATCGAACATTCATTGCATCCGGGTGTTTCTTGTTAGCGGTATTATGCACCTTGTAGTATAAGTGGATTGGCATCCAGCCAGGACGTTGAAATAAGGACCGTGTTGGGTTCGGAAGGGGCTCATTGTTCCTTAGGTCATTCCGTGGTTGTTCCTTTCACCCTCCTCGCGCACTGAGGCTCTTCTGATGCCATAAAGGGGCTTCGTTCCTTCTTGAGCGTTCCTTATCTCAACAGCCCTAGCCTTCGTTGTATAATTCCAGATGTATTACCTGGCGTCTCCCCAGCGATTCCAATCGTTTTGTATTTTCGGCCTTCTGTGGGCCTGGCCGACATCACCAGCTTAGTTGTCATCCTTGTGTACGGGTTCCAAAGGACCTCCTTATTCCCAGCCATCCTGTGGTGTTGGGTCCTCGTTTTGAAGAGACAGCGCCGCGCGTCCCTCCTCCTGCTCCTCCCGCTGCCCCCCCTCCCTCTCCCCATCATCAGCATCACCGTCACCATCATCATCACCATCATCATCAGTTCGGCACACCCCTCAAACGGTTCGTGGCCCCAATACAGAGCTCCACCGAAGGCCCCAGTGGCTGCGTCCTCATGCGTCCGTCACCGCAACCCATTACGGGACACCCCTCACACGGTTCGTGGCCCCATAGGGAGCCCCACCGAAGGCTCCAGTGGCTGCGTCCTCATGCGTCACCGCCACCCACTACGGCACACCCCTCATACGGTCGTGGCCCCAAAGGGAGCTCCACCGAAGGCCCCAAAGGCTGCGTCCTCATGCGTCACCGCCACCCTATTCGGCACACCCTTCACACGGTTCGTGGCCCCATAGGGAGCTCCACCGAACGCCCTTGTGGTTGCGTCCTCATGCGTCACCGGCACCCATTACGGGACACCCCTCGCACGGTTCTTGGCCCCAGAGGGAGCTCCACCAAAGGCCCCAAAGGTTGCGTCCGCATGCGTCACCGACACCCATTACGGCACACCATTCACACGGTTCGTGGCCCCATAGGGAGCCCCACCGAAGGCCCAGTGGTTGTCTGCTACGCAGGTCTGGGGCGATAGCTTTAACGAGGCAACGTCAGAGACAACAAAAACAAACAGCTGACACAACGGTTATTCGGAAGCTACAATGGAAACTGATATACCATAAACCCACCTCAAGAAGCACAGCCCTGCAATCAATCAACCGAGGTTCATTGGTCCAGGCTTGGGTTTCTTGCAACTCGTCCGCAACAGAAGAAGCCCACGGCACTCTGACCCGAGTGGCTTCTTGATCGCCTGGGTAATGCAATGAGACACGAAGAATCCCGAGGCGATCGTACATGCAAGCTTCGAGCTTTGCACGAACAAAGAGATGGTGACTCATCCCGGCCCTCCAACAAAAACAAATAGCGCCGATTTAACGTCGGCTGGGATGGGCGAAAACAACCAGGATACACAAAATGCAACTCAGTTTCTTGGAACATCGAGCATGCACCTCGAATGCGCCAGCGCTCCCATGTCAGACTGACGAGCCATCGATGATGGATGCGTTCTGCAGGAACAGCCAGGGTGGCGGGCGAAGAAATACAAGGTACCCTGAATGTCTGTCAGTTTCTCAGATCGGGCTCTCGGACACGCAGCCCGATTGCGCCCGCGCCCCCATGCCAGACTGACGAGCCCCCGCAGGTGGACGCGTCGCACTGGAGGAACAGCCAGAGTGGCGGCCGAAGGAACCCAAGGTACCCCGAATATCTGCCAGTCTCTCAGACTTTCGGGCGCGCTACGACTATTCGTATCCGTCGCAGGAGACATGCAATAGGCCATGGATGGCTAGGCCACGGGAACGCGGACAGGCGAAGTGCAGACCATGGGCAGGCCAAGGACAAACTATGGTCAGGCCACGGGCAGGCTGTGCGCAGGCCATGGGCAGGCCCTGAAGAGGCCATGGGTTGGCGATGGGCCGGCCATGGGCAATTTGGCAAGAGGTAGTCCACGGCCGCGCGGCGCGACGGCGACGGAGGGCGGTCTGATAGATGGGGCCAGCCTGCGGAGGACCCACCGCGAGCGCGGCAGCCAGCGGCGCGATCAGGGGGACCCCGGGCCCGCCAAGGCACCACAGAAGGCGCCGTGTCAAGATTGGCTGCGTGATGACTGGGTGGTCGGTCGCGTGGTCCTCCTGCGCGCGGCTGTCGCGGGGCACTGCGTCGTTGCCGGTGCAATTGCCGTCTGCACTTAGTTGATGATTAATCCGCGCGGTGGCATCGGGGTGTAGCGGGTGTTCGAGCTGGGTCTTCATGATGCTGTTGATGTTGTTGCCGACCTCCGAGTGCTGATCGCGTCGAGTTACCCTTGCAGGTGCCGTCGCCCTGGTTGCGCGTGGCAGCAGGCATGTCCAGGGCCTAGATGTCGACGTATACTGAGCGCGTTGGTGGCGGTGGGGTCGTTGGCTTGGGCGGCGGCGGTGGCTGTCTTGCACCTCGGGGTGCGAGTGGTGGGTCGCGGACGATGTCGCCCTTCTCGTCGTAGGAGAACTCTTCGTTTGATGCCGAGATGGACCGTTTCCAACCTTTTAGTAGGAAGTAGTTCCTAGGGCGTCCCCATGCGGGCGCTAACGCGCCCGCGTCGGCGCAGGAGACCTTGCCGCTGTAGTCTTGCAGGATAAGCGCTGGATGCGCCACCCAGGGGCACGGGCAGGCTGCGTCCGCATGCGCCACCGCCACCAAGGACAGCGTTTCGTGGCCCCTTAGGGAGCTCCACCGAAGGCTCCAGTGGCAGTGTCAGCATGCGTCACCGCCACCCAGGACAGCGTTTCGTGGCCCCTTCGGGAGCTCCACTGACGGTTCCAGTGGCAGTGTCCGCATGCGTCACCGCCACCCAGGACAGCGCTTCGTGGCCCCTTAGGGAGCTCCACCGAAGGCTCCAGTGGCAGTGTCCGCATGCGTCACCGCCACCCAGGACAGCGTTTCGTTGCCCCTTAGGGGGCTCCACCGAAGGCTACAGTGGCAGTGTCCGCATGCGTCACCGCCACCCAGGACAGTGTTTTGCGTGGCCCCATTGGGAGCTCCACCGAAGGCTCCAGTGGCAGTGTCCGCATGCGTCGCCGCCACCCAGGACAGTGTTCCGTGGCCCCATAGGGAGATTCACCGAAGGCTCCAGTGTATGGTTCCGCATGCGTCACCGCCACCCAGGACAGCGCTTAATGGCCCCAGAGGGAGCTCCACCGAGGGCTCCAGTGGCAGTGTCCGCGTGCGTCACCGCCACCCAGGACAGCACTTCGTGGCCCATAGGGAGCTCCACCGAAGGCTTCAGTGGCAGTGTCCGCATGCGTCCGCGCCACCGATTTCGGCGCACCCCTCGCGCGCTTCGGTTCCCCATGGGGAGCTCCACCGAAAGCGGTACCCACTATGCGGCACTCGCAGCTACATATGGTTGGGTCCTTCGTCAGGTTAATTTTGCTGTGAAGGCCTGTCGGCGGGTGCCGCCGACACTGAAGGCGGGACATCCCCTGGGACCCTTGCTGGCGCCCCCCCCCAGGGGGTGGTCCTTTGGTCCATTGGAGGAGGCGGGGGGAGAGATCTTGAGTTCTCCCTTTTCACAGGGGGGCCACCGCCTTGTCCCCCTTGTCCACTGGGGGGATTGGGGGGAGGGGGGGGGCGAGGGGCCTCGAATTCCCCCTGTGCACAAGGGGGCCCCTCCCCGTCCACCTTGTCCACAGGGGGGACCCGGGAGGGGAGGGGGGGAGGGGGGCAGTGAGTTCACTCTGTCTCCAGGGGGGGAACCACCCCTTGTCCCCCCCTGTCCACTGGGGGACCCGGGACCCTTGTCCATAGGGGAGACCCCCCCTGTCTCCCCGGTATCCCCTGTCAACGGGGGTGACCGGGGAGGGGAGGAAGGGGGGGCATTGAGTTTCGGCAATCTGACCCAGGACCCCTCCCCAGGACCCCCCCCCTATAGGGCAGACCACCCCCTTTGTTCCCGCCTGTCCACACGGGGGACCGGCGAGGGGAGGGGGTGGGCAGCGGCATTGTTGAGTTACCTTGTCCACTGGAGGGACCACCCAGACCACCCCGTGTCCCTCTTGTTCACAGGGGGGACCGGGGAGGGGGGGGGCAATCTGATCTGGCCCCCCCGCCCACCGCCTACCCCCCGCACCCCCCGTCAGGGAAGGACATCGATTTAATTACGACCTTCCTTGTCTTGGTTCTTCTCAAGTTTCTTGTGAGTGGCGACGGCGACGACGAAGACGACGACAGCGTCTCACACACGCCGAACACAAACCTGGCGATTGGAGAGCCCGCTATGTGATAAGTGTTAATGAAACTGTTGAGTAAATCTAGCAGGGCCCCAGTCCTGTTCCAGCTTGAACGCACGCATCGTACACAACATGTTCTGTAACCGTGATAGCGTGACCACGGTTATACACTGTTGTTGCACAACATGTCGTGGCGCGTTCGTTGCGCATCTTGGAGATCTGTACCGTGAAGAAGGTCGCCACACGGCCGCCTATGTACGTTCCAGTCGTAACACGCAGCGTTGTGAGGAACTCATTGTTTGACACTTCTTACTTTTGCACGGGGATGTTGATGACAACGCAACTCAAAGCGCTAACTCTGCAGCTCCATAGCCGATTTTGAATATTTTCCGTAGTTGTTTCGATTCGAAGGTTGTCCATCTCGAAAGCTTCGCCATGACCCTTCTCTGCCTTGTCTGGGACTCTTCGGGTAACGTGGCTCTGTGCCACGAGAGCCCAGCTTTCGTCCGAGACTTCCCCTCGGGCTTCGAGCGCGACCTGCGGCTGCGTCCACCCAGCCAGGGGGGCCAGGGTCCGGCGCTCGCTGCAGCGCCCCTCTTCCTGTGCCGGCACGTCTCAAGCTGCGAGGGCCAGGCTACACCGAGTGCGTTCCATTACTCTCAAAGTGCCTACTCGCAAACGTCCGGAAACAAACGCCTTCTATGTAACGGATCGTTAGCCCCCCGCGGCGGTTCCAGGCCATTTGCGAGTAGTTACTTTGCGAGTAGTGGATCGCGCTTGTCCAAGGCTACACTGCTGCCAGCGCCACCCTGTGAGCCCGCACCGCACTCCGCAGGGCTCATCAAGAGCTGCCTGCAGAAAGCTATCCGCAGAGGTCTCACGCGCACAGCGGTGGCGGCAGCAGCCTATCTGCTTGCACGCGAACCCCAGGAGCTGCTTCGACGGTTGCCAGTAGTGCTCGCAGAGGACGTTGGCGTCTTCGAGGACCTCCCAAGGCTCACGTGGCTCGCCGTGGCCGCGCAGAGCGGCTACGCGCTTCACGAGGGCGACGCGCACTTCGTGCTGGCGCTTGTGGCCGCCGCCGCCACACACCCGCGGCGCACAGCACCCCCAGACGCGGTGCCCGAGGCCCTCAGAGGACATCGATCTATGTACATGTGCGCGGCCCTCCGCTTGCGTGCGCTAGAATACCGTCGCTCGTGCACGCGTGATCGCGGAGGGCGTACACGTACGTATGTCTTGGCCTGCTCAGGCACGGGCGCGCGCCGCACTCCACAGGCTTCTGAGCGGCCCCGCTGTTGGCGCTGGGACTGCGCCCGCGGCGGGCGCGGGTGCGGCAGTTGCGGAGCAGCTCTCGCTGTGCTTGACGCTGCGCGCTTGCTACGGTGGCATGGGCTGTGACATCGACATGCTGCTCGCCTTCGCAGGAAACCCGGCGCACTGGGAGCATCGTGTGGTGCCCGCCGAGCTCACGGCAACTGCGGGCGCGGGCCTGGCGGACGAGTGGCTTGCCCACCTTCGCTCATGCAGGTGGCGCTGGGGTGGGCCGCTGGCGGCCGAGGCGGGGGAAAGGCTTGAAGCGGCTGTGGACTTCCACTGCTCGGACGTGGTTCCTCGAATCTGCCGCTACCTGCAAGGACCGGAGGTTGCCAGAGGCACAGTCAGCCCGGATAGTAAGGATGAATGATCGACTTCCCAGGGGTACCCTCGCATCCTTGCCTCTTCGGCTATCTTCGTTCCATGCTCAACCACTCTCGATGGCCAGCCACGCTCAAAGAGCCTCCGCAGGGGCGTCCGAGGCCCTTGCATCCCTACTGCGCATCCTTACTAGATGGGTAGACTGCAGCCGTGACCGAAGCCGACCCCAGCTCTTCAGGGAGACCGAGATGGCCTCCAGGGCCCCCTTTGCCAGGCCCAGAGGGCCCCAGGGGCTCCCTCTGGAGCGAGAAGCTGGGGACGCGCGCGATAGGCCTGGGCCGCCCCCTGGCAACCTCCGAAAGCACGGCGCGCGCGAGCTCCCACAGCCCGGCGGCGAGCCGAGGGGGGAAGTTCGAGGCAGGAATTTATACATGACTGCCGCCTGGCATGCGGTGGATACGGACATATTCGGGCCCCTGGGGGCCAAAACGCATCCATACACACATGTATATGTATATACATATATATATATATATATATATATGTTTGTACCGCCCGCCGGGTCGCCAGGACGTCGGTTCCCAGGCGGTGGATATGGATACATCCCCGCCTCGCAGGAAGTGAGAAGGGGCGGGCCTCCTCAAAAGGCTCGGAAGGCCTCGGGCCTTCTGCGAAGTTGTCTAAGCCTTCCCCGGAGGCACAGAAAACTTTTCGGAAGGCTGGAGGGCTCCTGAGAAGCACCGCCGCCACCTCTCTCGCATCCCCCCCGGGCGCGCCGCCGAACGGCACCAGGGCCGCCCGATGAAGACGAGGTGAAGGCAGCAATCTGGACGCACCGCAGCTCGGTGAACTTCCGTGATCCCCCGCCACCGTCGCCGCGCCCGGCGTGGTGGGATGCTGACACCGATGCCGAGCTCTCGCGGCTCTCCCGTGCGGCCTGGGCTCCTGTGGTGCCCAGCTTGGGAGAGGGAAAGAACATACGCAGTGGACTCCTCCTCCTCCTCCTCCTCCTCCTCCTCCTCCTCCTCCTCCTCCCCAGCTTCGAGGCGGCAACGGTAGGGGACGGCCCAGAGAGGGGTGATGACTAGGGCCTAGGGGGTGGACATCATGGCGGGGGCCATGATATCTCCCCAGATTTCATGGCGCCTCTTCTTATTTCAACACGTGCCGGCTCCCCTGGGCCGCGCGCTTGCCTCGGGCCATGATTTGCGAACCCCCCTCTGGGACGCCCCCCTCTTGGCCGCCTCCGAAACGAGGCGGCAACGAGCAGCCACGTGGCGAAACCTCGCCGGGCCCATCCAGAGCGTGAGGCGGCAATGGGCGACAACGTGGCGAGACTTCGCCGGACCCGACGAATCTCTCAGGGAGTGACGTGAGAACTCTTGAGTGCAAACATTGTTTGGCGAATATACGTAGTGGAGTTCAGCTTCTTCCAGCACCTTTCCTGGGTTTGGGCAGGGGTGCATGTGGCTTCATTTGCTGAGAGCCGGCGGTGAGGCCAGGTGGGATTCCACGCAATTGGTACGCCCTTGAAGGCTAGAAATGATATCACCCAAGTGGACTGCTGTGCTGGCCTGCCGTACTGGTCTGCCGTGCTGGCCTACCGTGCTGGCCATCAGGGCTGGTCTGCTGTGCCGGTCTGGTCCGCCGCGCTGGCTCTCCTGTCGTAAGTGCGAGCGGGTGGGCGTGGAACCGTTGAATGCCACAACGCATTCCTAGCCATGCTATTGTTCCTGGAACGAGATTTGGAATGGTGCGGGTTCCTGAGATGTGGGCTCATTTGGAGTATTCGGGGATCTTGTTGCAACCCACTTGGACGCCCCCTGGCCTCATCTTGGGGTCCTCCTGGGAGCCTCCTGGGGTCTCTTGGCCGCCTCTTGGGAGCCTCTGAGGGGGGTCGGGGGAAGTTTTGGGGCAGACCCTGAGCCATGGCCCAGCAGTGGGTTCGCGGCGCGCCTGGAGCGCCTCTTGGGCCGTCGTTTAGTTACGCTCTTGACACCGAATAAGTGGTAATGATAGCAAGGCACAAACAGAATGCTTTCCACGATTTTGGCGTCCCAAGCCAGCCCCCAGGGCCACAAGACGGCCCAAGGGCCCCCGTGACTCCGGATCCGCCGTATTCGGGTTTCTCTTCCAGCTTGAACTCGTTGCAGAAACGCATTCCGAACGATGCAAACAAGTAGGGCGGTAATTTCTGCCTCGCAGGAGTAGGTCGGAGATTCACATAGAAGCAGTGCGGAAACGGCGACGGCAAAGAAGTGCGGCAGTCGACATCAAAGGAGCTCGAAAAGTAGGGTGGAAATTTCCGCCACTCACGAGATCACCCAAAGTACGGCAGATCCAGAGTCAGGCGCGGCCCCTTTCCCTGAACTCAGACGCCGTGTTTTTGTTCATCCACGCTTCATTGTTCTGGGCGGAAATATCGGCCACACTTCTGCGTACCGTTTGGATTGCATTTCCGACACAGAGTAAGCAGGGAAATCAACCAACGTACGGTGGATCCAGAGTCAGGGAGACGTTTGGACCTCGCCAGGACGGTTTTTCCTACTGGGTCGTGGTTGAAGGTCCTGAGGCCTCGCGGCTGCCCCCCCGGTTTCCGAAAACAGCCCAAAGCCGCTCGTCGGAATCTGTTTCATGACGCGAGCGAGCGGGAGTTGGGAAGCCTCTGAACCTTCGGTGCTCTGTGCCATCATGGACCTGAGGGCGCTCCACCATGTGCCAGAGTTGCAGGCCTAGAGGTTGACGCCAACACCAATATCGGCGGTGTGCCTCCACCGAGGGAAGAAGATCCCGATCTCGGTGATGGTGGCAATATTCCGGCTTCCAAGGTGACCGAAATATTACCACCAACACCGAAGCCTAGGATCCTGATCTCTGTGATGGTGGCAACCCCCTGTGCTGGTGATGGTGCCAATGTCCAGGCCTCCAGGCTCCGCCACGTGCCAGAGGCACGGTGGCAGGCACGTCGTCGGGCGTCCACAGGCCCACTCGGGCTGGGCCCCTGGCGCGCACAAGCGGCGCATCCCTGCATGGCCAGGGGCCAAAAGATGCGGCAGGGTCGCGGCGACCCCGCCGCGGGCGCTCGAGGCTGAACCCCGCGGGGTGAGTAGTAATACTATGATTGATGTTACTCTTATGTTTATTATTATTCGTCGTCCTCCTCGTCCTCCTCCTCCTCCTCCTCCTCCTCCTCCTCCTCCTCATCATCATCATCATCATCATCATCATTACCATCCTCCTCCTCCTTGTTCCAAGCCTCCCAGGTGTGGTCCAAGCTGATTGGGTCGGAGCATCGCAACGCATCGCCGACCCATCGGCGATGCGGCTCGATGCGGATCCCGACTCTCTCCACGCCGACGTCGCGCGGTGCGGGGTGATCCTCCGACCCCATCCACTTGGACCCCATGCGCGACCGCGCAAGAAACCAACGCATCCGGAAGTTCTGGACGCTTTCGATGTCGTGTGTATGTTTGGTGTTTTTTGTTCGGCTGTTGTTGGAAGGTGCTTCTCTTTATACACAGTGCCTCCTCGTCAGGTTGCGGCTTTGCCACTTGCAGCGTGTTTCTATTCCCTCCGACGTGCTTGCGCGATACCAAGTGGCGATAATGCGCGGCGTTGCCCGTTTGCCAAGATGCACGCGCGCGCTGTTCGGGGGAGTTCGCATTAGTAGCAATGTGGTTGTTGCGGCATTGCAACACTATGTTGTAGGCGGCGTGTGGTGCCCTTCTCGCTTGTCAGCTGCACGTGTCTTGCGTGAGCGGCTTGCCCCCGCGCAGACATGTTTTGCGCGGCGTGATTGGGGCGGATTTGCGCGACGATGCGCTCGTTCATGCGGGCAGACCGCTTCTGCGTGACGACGCCCCCAGTAGCGTCTAGCATGTCGCTGAGCTTGTTCCGTTTTCGTCCGGCGCTTACGCGTACCGCGTCTTTATTCGTTGTTCATGTGTTGTTTGCCCTTCGCTTGGCCTCTTCCGTTGCCCTCCCCTCCTCCATTTGCATTGCAGGGCTTGAGCTGACCAGTGTCTTGGCGATGTCGTGGACCGTTTCCATGTCGCTTTCGTTTCGCCAGAAAGGCGGAACGGGGACAGCCCGAGGGACAACGAAACCAGAACAATAACGGAAAACAACTAGAGCCCTATCGCATGCCGTTTTTTGTTGCAAAAACACCAACTATTTAGCTCGAGCCCTGTCGCATGTCGTCTTTTGTTGAAAAAGGCACTGCGCGCCTGTCAAAGTGGAGGGCCCGGTCGGCCCGTGGATGGCGCGATTATTCGTCGACGAATCTTGCGCGCCGCGGCTGCGCGCAGGAAACGCAGGGCGCTTGCGTTGTGCTGGTATGTTCGCCGCAAGCTCCTCGGACCGCCACTGCGCAACACTCGGCGTGGTGAGTCTTCGGCCACCACCAAGAAACGTCGACACGCGGCATATCTTAGCCCATAGGCTTGCAAAGGCCGCAACATGGCAACAAGCTCTTCCGCGTCGTTTCGGGGCACATCCCGTCGTCTTCGTCGTCGCCCTCACCCTTCCCACCGTCTCCCCGTTGTCACTACCATCCCTCTTCCACCCCATGATCATTATTTGTTTCTTGTCTTGCTGGGGGCTTTCGCGTGGCACTTTCAGGCCGCATTGGGCTTGACGGGGGGTTTTCCTCCTCCTCCTCCTCCTCCTCCTCCTCGTCCTGTTGGGTTGTTGTGGGGGCCTGCTTGGGCGCTCGTGGGTCGTCCTGAGGCTCTCTGGGATATTTCGGGGCCACCTCGGGCCGTCGTGAACTCCCCGGGATGGTATCTTGGTGCCGTCTTGGGCCGCGCCCGCTTCCATGACGGTTCTCTTGTTTTGCACGCGGACCCTTGGATGCGTTGCAGCTGCGGCGGCGATGGCTGCAGAGTCGCTTTCCGGTCTCGGCAGAACAGCTGTTTCGCGTTTCCAAGCGGGGTGGCTGACTGGCGGCTTCCGATGGCCACGCCAGGACTTTTGATTTTAGGGTTTCCCCGCTCCAAGAGAGCATTGTGGAGGTAAGGGAATTTCGGGTTTCGTGATATCCCCCCCCCGGGAGCTTCGATGGTCCCACAGCACGAAACATCTCCTCGATCCACCAAACTGAACAAGGAATTGGCTTGGGTGCCCGGCGGTCGGCGGTCCCGCAACGAAAGGTCTTTGCTTGGGTCCTCGGCGGCCACGGGTCCCACAGACCCCACGGGTCGCACAGGTCCCACAGGTGCGACACGTCCCACAGGTTTCACGGGTCCCACATGTCGCGCAGGTCTCACAGGTCCCGCAGGTCCCACAGGTCTCACAGACGCAGGTTCTGCAGGTCCCACAAGCCCCACAGGTCCAACAAGTCCCCCAGGTTCCACATGTGTCGCAGGTCTCACAGGTCCCGCAGGTCCCACAGTTCCTGCAGGCCCCACGGGTCCCAGAGGCCCACCAGGTCTCGCAGGTTTCGCAGGTCTCACAGATCTCGCAGGTACCACAAGTCCTACATGTCCCAGAAGTTGTGCTGGTCACACAGCGCCCACCTGCCCCACAGCTCCTGCAGGTCCTGCATGTATCGCTGGTCCCGCAAGTCCCACGGTTCCAACAGGTATCACATGTCCCACAGGTGTCACAGGTCACGCAGGTTCCACAAGTCCCGCAGGTGTCACAGGTCCCACAGATGACGGAAAGAGCGAGGTACGAGCGAGTGACGTTGAGTAGGGGGCGAAGCCCTTCTTAGGGGGGGTCCAGGGGGGGTGCGAGGCGCGGACGCCTGGTCTAATACCCCGTTTCCCTTGTATTTTTTCGAGTGAGGCGGCTCCTGGGCGGCTCCCTTGGCCCGT